CCACTTATAAATCAAAATCTGTACAAATATGACAATTGCACTGGCAGCCCGAAATTGAAGATCATTATGTTGCAAATTTCTTTACTTATTTAAAAGCATAAATAAATGTTTCCTACTAAAGTGTAGCTATTTAATTGAACACCATTGTAACTGCAATTACTGTAGCATATGATCAGTAAGCCAAACTGTAAAAGTCTACTCTCTTCATTCGCATACTATTTAAAAGATTAACAGAGCCTGTGACGTCACTAATATAAGTTACATATATAGATATATAGTTTCTATGTATGCATGCACAGCAAGAGCACAATTACCTGTTAAATAAGAGCTTTACTTTTTCTAGATTGTTCTCTCACTCTCTCTCTCTTTCTTTGATTGTGTTCGCGCCATTTTGCCTCTTGTGAAAAATGCTCAGCAGCAAAATGTAAGCGACAAATAATTTGCCAATTGTTGAATGAAGCGGTAGAAGTAAATAGAAATTTGTAAACACACACACAATACGAACGAAACGCGTTTTATACTACAAATTTAACTTAAATCTATTCAAAACGAGATTAGATTTATTTAACACGCGCCGAGGACGCAACCGATCAACAGCAGAGAAAGGCACACACTAAATTGCCTCATTAAGCGCGCGCCTACGCTAAGCCGGCGTTCACACTAATACTACCATAACAATTGAGAGCGCAAGCACAAGCAAATTCGGCTGCATAAAAACAAAGATAGCGGGATCAAAAGCCTGACAGCCAATAGCGTGCGTGCAGTGCATATGTGAATTACCCCACCCCTCCCCCCACACTAGATGCTGCGAAGGGATCACCAGCATAAATAGCAATATTGGGAGCAAACAATTTCCCACTATGTGACAATGTGCACTCTCCGGGTAAATACTCTCTGATCAAGCATATACAAATACTTTAGGTAGTTAGAAATGTGACCTTTTATACGCTACGTATAATAAGGTCAGTTTGGATAAAAATGTTAGATGACAAATAATTTGTTTAATTACTTTTGAGGGGACTATTTGCTTTGAAATATACCCTCCTAGTATTTATAAAGAAAAAACCCATATTATTTTGCACTCTCTTTCAAAATATTCTGATTTATATCCCAGCTACCCTTGAGATGCATTGACACACGACTGTAAAAAGCTACACGTGCTGCGTAAGAAGTCAGGCCATAAATCCACTTACAAACTAACTTTATGGATTCTGTAAAGACGAGTACAGCTCATAAATTCAATTGCTTTGTGCATTATCCATGGGACGAGCTGAATTTGCGAGCAACTCAAAAAATTCTCGAGTCTCGGTTACAGCTCGGGCGACAGTTGAAGAAGGTTGATTAACCCCTCGAGACGGTGCTAAAGCAAAACAAACACGAGCCCAAGATGAAAGGAGACCAGAGCAGAAACAGAGAGAGAGAGGGAGAAAGGGATAACAAACTCCGGCCAAAGGGCAAAGTCAGAGAGACTGGAGACCCTCTCCAGTTTGCGATTTGGGCTCTCAGATAAATTCAGCAAGAGCACTGCCAGCCGCTGAATGGGAGCGCAGGACAACGATGAGATTCTCTCTGTTGCCGGAACCGTGGGCGAAACAACCCCAAGTGAAGTTCAATTGCGGGCAAGTGCAAGGCTGTCCTCGGCTGGCGGGACATGCAAACGGGCAAGGCCGATGCCAAGCACAGCCCAACACCCATTCCCCCATTCCCCGACCCCTCTGACATTGAGTTTTTTTTTTTTAGCGAAACTACACGGAAAATCGCAATCGAAAGCCCAAACAAAAGGATGCAAACGATGTCAGGGATAAAATTGAAAGCAAACATAAACAAGTCGCAGAAACCACCACCAAAGCCCTCGAGCTGCTGCCGGGAAAAACTTTAAGGGATAGCAGATCGAAAAAAAAAACAACAAGAAACGAAACTTCGAACTTGGCCGAAATTTTAATACCCTTGTAGAGTCAGGGTCTTGCAGATTTGCGGAAAGAATTGTGACGCTCGTAAAGCTTGATACAGGAGTCTGATGTTAATAAGTGTTTGATTATAATAAAAGCTAATAAATGAAAGATTTGCTCAAAATATCTTGATGAATAAAAAGGTTTTTAATACAAGAAATCTATTTTTAACTCATCTTTGCTACGGCAGATATATATTATGATAGTCCCATGTTGGTAGGATTTTGCGGGGTTTGGTGAAGCTAACTTGATAAACAAGATAGTTTTTCATACTTTATAAGTATTAGATTGATTGATCATTTCTATATGATATAGTTATCCGATCTCACTGTCTACAACAAAAACACGTACCTCTCGTACTCTTACTATTCTAATCATTATTAAAGTATAGGATCTATAGATACCTAAAGAGGATAGATAGCTTAGATAATACCTGCTACATACTCCAGTCTGGAACTCGAACTCAAAGTTTCGCTATGCGGTTGCCTGAAAGGCCGTACTCTTTGGAAGAGCTTTAAAATGTTATTTTCTTTTGCATTTTATGGCAACGTTCAAGAAGTTAAGTTGCGAGAAAAGTTTGCATAACTTGGCTCAACGGCCAAGTGGGCAAAGAAATTATGCGGGCTACTCCAGACGAAAAGTGGGCAAATGCAAATGTGGATGCTGCGACTTAAAGGCAACAATGCTTTGATTTGTTGCCTGCTCAGACCACCCAATCGGCCAGGCAGTCGCACACACAGATACGCGCAAGTAAATAGACACACGCAACAACTAACACACAGATACGCACACACACACATGCAATCACAACCACAGCAGCCACCCTGAAAGTACGCTTTGAATGGCGTCAACAAATTCATTTCGCATCAGATGAATGACATGACTTTGACAGCATCAACAGCAGCAGTGGAGGCAGCAGCAGTAGCAGTAATAACAGTAAGACCGCCAAAACGCCTCCATCGAGCATCAGGCAGCCAGCAGTCGGCGTTGGCAACTGCGTCGTGGTTGCCCGTCGCTTCGGAGTCGCTGCTTTTCACTTCCCTGCCCATTCCACCTGCCACCCCACTGCACATCTCGTAAGTCCTCCCAGTCAATGTTTACATAACATGGCTATGATGACGCTTTTCCTCTCGCCTCTCGTCTCTCGTCTCTCGCCACGTCCAGCGCAGGCTCACACGCATGCGGCAAGCTCCATTGAGCTCCGTGCCAGCCGGGCCGGGACAGACCCGAGGACGGCAGCCGGTGCCGGCAAAAAAGGCAAAGAAATAATGATAGCAAAAAGAAGGAAAAAAAATAGACGCACAAATTTACGTTACGCACCCTGCACTGTGGCAAGGTATCTATACAAGAACCGGGAATTCGCATGTATCTGTATCTGCATCTGTATCTGTGCATCCTCATAAGCTGTATCTGAGCATTGCGTGTGCTTTGCTTTGGTATTTTCACTCTAGCAATGTCCCCGTTGCAATTGACTTAGAGAGAGGGCTGTTCAACTGGTTCACCTTCAAATCTATATATGTATATATCTATATAGCTATATATCTAAATATCTAAATGTCTAAATGTCTACATATCTATATGTCTTCATGTCTGTATGTCTATATCTATATCTATATCTACATCTATATCTTAATCTATATCTCAGTCTTCCTTGTGTTTACCTAATCCTCTCGATATACCCCTTGATTTCTCTTGAGCTCACCTCGTTTATAGAGTATGCTAAAGCTCATATAGCGACATCTTAATGGGCGCTGGAAGTGCATCCCCGTGTGCTGGTTAACTTTCAATTAACGTCACGTTTTACGTACCTGCGCACTTTTCACTCGATGCAGATGGAGCGTGCCGCCGGTGATGACCCCCGCGGTGGTCGCCTTGGCATGCATTGGCGCTGAATTTATGACGTACTGCGTCTGCGGCTGCTGCTGCTGCTTGGCCAGAGCTGGAGCTGTAGCTGAAGCTGGCTGCGGTTTGGCCGACGATGTTGTCTGTGTTTTTGCAACATTCCTAATTGAGTTTTCTGGTACTCGGTTTTCACTTTGGCAGTCCATTGAAGGCAATGCCGTCTCGTGTTGCTGTTGCTGTTGCTTTTGCTGTTGTGCAATGGACATGCTCGTAATTAGCCGCTTGGCAATTGAGATTTGGATTGCGAGAGCAATATATCTTGTGTCTAACACCACATCGATTAGACGAAATGTATCTCAAAGATACACGCATGCAAATTCACTTTTTATCGCCGCCGCGAATGAAACGTACTTTTTCGAATTTTTCCGGTTTCCGGATTCCGGATTTCTTGTTACGTTTTGCACGGCACGCGGGTCCAACTGTAACTGAAACGCGCTTGCCGAGTGCTGCGTGCCGAGTGGAGCTGCGTCCTTCGGATGGTGGTTGGTATCCGGGCAGCAGGGTGTTAGCTTTATCTGGCATTTATCTAACATCAGGCGCAGGGGAAATTTACAAGGAGTCGCCACGTGAGCTGCCGCCGATAAGCAGCAGCAGCCGGAACAAACGCACTAACTAGCTGGAGATTGGGTTTGCAAACTCCAAGAGATTTAATTAAAAATTAACAAGTATTCATAGAGCTAATTAAAGGAAAATTGATAAGAAAAGGCACGCACTGATTTGCAGAGATGATAAACAGAAGTACCAGCAAGACAGCAAGCCGGTTCAAACCCGTGGCTGCTATGATTGCCTTGAACCAAAAATTGACACAATTACAGTTGTGTAAAAATACAAGAATTAGTTTAATTAGTTCGACCTGAGATTTTGATTGGTTAATAAATATTCTTTGAAATATTCAACAGGCAAACAAAACTACAATATTTATACCCTGTAAATGGGTAAATAGGGTATTCGGTATAGTGGGTGAATTCAGGCAACAGACAGAAGTTTAAACTAAGGCAAACTGCATTTGGAGTTGAAAGAAGTAGGTTCAGGGTATCCTCCAGTCGGGCACACCCTACTAGAGCACTCTCAAATGGCTTATCGAGTCACACAAGGAGTTTCAGTTCCAATTCCCAGCATTCTATAGCATTGAAGAATACTTCGACTAGATTTAATAGACTTGACATTGAAACTAAAACTTAAACTAAAACCAAATAATCAAAGATGGATCTCTTGTCGAATATAAAAAAAGAGCCTGAGGGCGAGCGTAAATCGTTAAAGAAATCCGTGATTGTCGCTCTGGACATATTCGAAGAACCATCTGGGGCTAAAAAGAAACAACGTGAACAGCACACCTACGCCATGGAAATCAATACAGATATTGAGTACCGCTCGCAATTTCGGGTGGGCTCTTATCAAAAATTCCAGCATCCAGTTAATTGATTCCATTTGCCAGGTGCTGGACACAGTCGATGGCGAGGAGGTGGATCTGACGCCCAACTATATACCCGAATCGCCGTACACAGATCAGTTCCTCAAATTCAATATGCATCTCAAGCACGAAATGGTCAGCATGCCACAGGTACACTCCAGAGGCAGCACAGCCCGATCCCGGACACGTTCCAGCATGCGCGGCGGAGTCGGCGGCAACAAGCAGTCCATCGATGAGCTAATAAATGGCGTAAGCGACAGACCTTTATTTAACTCTATTTATCAGGGCTGCAAACTTGCGAAACAATACTAGTTAGACGGGTGTGCTCGACTAGAAGATACCCTGAATCATGCGCCAAGCTGTGGCTGCAAACTTTCTAAGACTTTTTCGATGCTCTAAAACAATAAGATAAACACGCCACAAGCTGCGCACTTGATATTTTCATTACCCCACACTATTTATAAGAAAGGCAGCCTATTGTAACTTCGTTGCCTTTCATCCGATTTTTACAAAACTTTCAGGGATAAAATATGGCATTCAAAAGTGTGTGTATACCAAAGCGCAAGACGCTAGCTCTAAGAATTCTATTGTTGATATATTTAGGAAGAATGGAAGGTTTCCCAAAAATTAAATTTCCTTCATCTGTATACACTTTACGAGAACTTACATACCAAGTTTGGCCTATGTACCTCTTATAGTTCTCGAGATATATAAGAAAACCCAAATCCGAAAATCGATATAATTTGGTATAAAAGAATGTATATTGCACACTGCGAAAGTCTTCCCCCTAGATCGACGGTTCAAACTCAGTTCATCGCCTTGATATACCCTCCCTCATTTATAAACTACTTCCCCATCTACCTTAGATTATGTATGAAACGATTCTGTTTGATCCGGGCAGCAGTATCGAGAAACCGAATGATATGCACATGCCCGTGCCCTTCAACAAGTCGTTCGTCAAGGTGACGTTGCGCAAGTCGGACTTCATCGAATTGCATTCACAGATTAGTAGCACCGTGGCCAAGGGCACAACCCAGGGCGATGCCGTCGAGACGGACAATCGTCTCTATGATTACCTGACCATGGGCAAGGGCAAGGTGCGTCGTCGTTCCGACAACGATGCACAGACGGATCTGGTGCTGACCAACTCGCGGGCGGTGAACACCATATTCGTGGACTACGCCACGGTGGGCTCCTATGTGTCCAATTTCGAGATGTACGACACAATGGAGGGCGTGAGCCAAAAGCAGAGCCGTATGCAGAGCACCCTGCACAGCCTGAGCAAGGGCTCCGATGCGCAGCCGCAATTGGACGATGCCTCAGTGACCGACTACTTTGGCGAAGAGGAGGCCAAGGAGCGGCACAAGGTGCATTCGATAGCACAGGAGCTGTTCAAGAGTCCAGCATTCAAGAATGCGATACTCTTTATTGGACGCACACTCTCCAGCAATCTGTACAGGACGGGCATGCAGCGCTTTCGCAACTTCAAGCAGGTTGATCGCTGCTCCACGGATGTCGAGTACAAGTACTCAATGAAGGTTCTCTTTCGCCTGATCCCGACACTCAGCCTGGACGAGCGGAAGGCGGTCAGCGATATTAGCTTCTGTCACACCAACAGCGACATTGTGGCCATTGGCTATGGCCTGTTCTCGTTCTCCTCGCAGCGTGTCCCAACCACGGGGGATGTCTATGTGTGGAGCATCAAGAATCCTGGCGAACCGGAACGCGCCTATTACTACGACAAGCCGGTGACCGCCATTTGCTTCTCACCCTATCTGCCCTCCCTGATTGCCATTGGCATGTACGATGGCAGCGTCGAGGTGCGGGATGTGGCGGATGTCACGGATGTGCCCATTGCCGTGTCGCAGCGTGGCAGCTCGCCGGGCTGCTCGCCCGTGGTGGCCATACGCTGGCTCAAGCAGATCAGCGAGGATGATTCCGGTGAGATTGATCCGTTTCTCTGCCTTTCGCAGGACGGCTCGGTGACGCGCTATCGCCTCGGCAAGAGTCCTTTCCTTCTGGGCTTTACACAGATGACCCTCGAGCGCATCGAGGGCCATCCCGAGGGCATACACGTGCCCATAGCACCGACCATGACTGTCGCCGCCAACCGGCATCCCCAAGGCCTCTACCTAACCACCCATCCGGTGCACAAGGACATCTACTATATCCTCACCGATGAGGGCTGCATCCACAAATGCTCCATCAACTATCAGCATCAGTATCTGGAGGTGCTCAAGTGTCATGATGGTGGCGTCAATGTCATGGAGTTCTCGCCCTGGTCCCCCAAGCTGTTTCTCACCTGCGGCAACGATTGGTACACCTGTCCCCTCTCTCTCTCTCTCTCTCCCCCTTGCTTTGCTCACCTCCAATTTCCATTTGCCAGGTATGTTAGGATCTGGGTGGATGGCATTACACGACCCCTGATCGAGCTGCTGGACGACTTTCAGCCCATCCACTGGGCCAAGTGGAGTCCCACCCACTCCACAATTATTGTGGCCGTCAATCGGGATACTTGCAGCATTTGGGATCTTCGACGCAACATTCTAAAGCCCATGGGCAAGCACGAAACGGACTCCTCCTACAACACAATTGCCCAGTATGCAAAGATCTCTATATTCCATATTACTTTGTGACTCAAGCTCCCTCTTTCCACACAGATTCTCCAACAGCGGCACAGTCCTGGTGGTGGGCAATGAACGTGGCAATACCCTGTTCGAGGCCCTCAATGACATGCCCTTTGCCCCACATTTTCAGTACGATGAATTGGAGAAGGCCATTTACCGAGCGATTGGCAACGATCAGGAATTGTTTATTGAGCTCAAGAGCATCGGATTCTTCGGCTATCCCAACAAGAAATGCATTAGAACTTAAAAGTCGCCATATCTACACTGTCAGAGTTATAAGTAAATTAAATCTCAAATGAGGCTAAATTATGATTGTTATTAACTGGGCAGGTAGAAGGTGGAAGTAGATAAGGAGACTGGCTCGGATATACCTCTGATTAAAGGGTGTGCTTCTTTCTAACCCTCCACGTAAGGGAAAATCAAAGTATTTATGTTACCTAAATGAATATTTGGCGATTTTATGGATTACTATATAATACATCCACATCTATATACACCCAGATTTATTCCAAAAATCTTGTACAGAAGCCGAATTCCTTCATGCAATATTGTTGCTGGTCAATAAGCTATACATGGGATCAAAGTTCCTCCCACTGCCTGTTTGCTCATAATGCCCTTTAATTTTACCACTGTTTACTGCATATTAAAAGTTCAACAAGCAAGGCCCAGGTCATGAGAACTTCCTTCAGAGTAAACTTGAACCGCAGCTCCGGGTTCAAGGTATGCGGTTCACTCTAACAAAGCTCAGAACTGTTGAGACCTTCGTAAATTTGCCGCTACTTATTTACACGCCTGAACATTGTTATATAACGGTCGGGAATTGGATCAGTTGCCGGTTGATCAGTTCCGCGGCAACAGATCAAATTTCATCAGACCAACAGGTAACTCAAGACACAGCCGAGAGCATTACCTGTGCGTCAAATATGTGATGACCCTCTGCGCTCAAGAGTTCTTGGTCTTGAGTGTGTGTGTGTGTGTGTGTGTGTGTGTGTGTGAGGTTTAAATGTCAACCGACTGCCGACGATGGTGGTCAAAGTGTGGTTTCTCCGGGTGTTAAATAACAAATAAACACACTTGTGCACACATTAGCATACAAAGATGAAAAGCGCAGGCAGGGGAATTTATTAAACAGCCATCAGAATGAATAGAGAAAAGTAAAAAAAAAACACGAGAATGAGCCCCGATCAAACGCCAAACCGCCTAAGATAAACTACGTGTTACAGTTTTTCCGATACCCTGTAATCACTGAAAGTGCTTCAAATATAAAGGGTAGCTTGATTCGAAGTTAATTTATGTAGCAGAAAAAGTAGATGACCTCTGATCTCATTAAGTTTCCCTTTAGAGGTCATCAAATTTACAGAAAATCTATAAATATCGATTTTAAAACCAGTTTTTTAAGGAAATCTCGAGGATTATTAAAGCTAGAGACTCAAAATTTGGAACATATAGCTCATGCAGATTAGGAATAGTTCTTTTTTGAATAGACGACCTGGGTCACCCTCGAAAATTGCAAAAATATAAATATGAATGCTAGAGTCTTGTTCTTCAGTATGCACACACATTTAAGGGTCATATTTGAAGTCTGTAAATATAATTAAGATCGGACTATAAGTACCGAAGTTATTTGAGAACACTTTTACGAAAATGTAAGTCTGAGGCAAGAGGGGCCCTTATGTCTGGAATTTTTTTTAGGAAGGGTATCACCTAGTCTGTCACACCCGACCAGCGTAGTTTTTTTCCTACATTTTTGGGCAGCACCAGAAAAATAGAAGTAAATGTCAAAATTTGTGGCCCATAAATAAACAAGCTGCAGGCTCAACGGGCTTCGAGGAGTGGACCACACCGTCGCATATGGCCGTAAATTACACAGCACATTCCAAACGAAACGGCGAGTCGCGACGGGACGGGACGGGCTTGGGACCAAAAACCTAAAACGCCGCTGGATGTCATCATCAGCAGCAGACGCAATCCTTGTCCACAGCTAAATGCTGCCGCTGCCTCTATCGCAGCTGCATTAATTGTTGTGAAACAATCTGAGCCTTGTCGTGGTTGTCGCATTTAATGAACATTTAATTGCAGCCCACATGTGCGCCAAGCTATGCCCACCAGGCCGCAGGGGCGGGCCCAGAGGCCGGAGGCTGGCGCACAAATTGAAAACAAAGTGTTATAGCCCAGTGGACGGCGACAAAAGACGGCCATCATCATCATCGTGGACAATGTCGTCGTGGTCGGAGCTGACAAGGAGACAAACGAGCTTACAGTAGCTGTTATGGCCATGACAGAGTCAACCAGAACGAGCCGCTGATGAGGCCAGACGCAATGTCATTTTGCCAATAAAAGCTGCGATTCATCAGAATTGTTGAGATTCTCATGGCCAAGTAAGGCCAGCAGCAGCAGAGCAGCTCAGCTGGGAGAAAGATGTTGGCTGTTGCAAGAAAAGAAATGGAACTCGAACTGTTTGCTCTAGAGATGGCCGCGTGAGGGACTCGTAACACACACACGACTTTTTTTAAATATGTTTTGGAAGAATCCAAGTTTTCTAATAGTACGGAGAATATAATACAACATACACTTTTGGGTGCCACTGATAATACATTAGAACATTCATAGACTAACCTGTGATTCGAACCAGGCTCCTCTGCCTACTCCCATAACTTGTAAAGGAATGCTGAAATATATAATTTTTAAATTTAGATAAAATAATATCAAATTAAATATCTAGAATAACGATTTGCTAACTCATGCAAGGTTATGGCCTTTCTATGCAATTCTCATGAGTTTAAGTAAGGATAATTAACGTGTTAGCATATAATTATAGTATTATATTAAAACTGTTAATTAGGTATAAATTCACACTGATTTTAAGTCTTTATTCCACGCACGATATTGTATAATTCAAGCACGAACTGAAACATGCAAAAGAAAACGATCAATAAACAAACCTTAAAGAACGCAGTCAGCACAAGCTTTAATCATATGCTGTTAATATTATTATAAGCCTCCTAGGAGGATAAATGATTCCATTTTCCAAAAATTCACAAGTCTATGCAGACTTTTGTCGATTATTTTGATTATTGCTTGGGGCGCAATATATGTTATCTGGACGAAACGATGCGCTTTCCGGCTCATCAGATGAATCCCTGCAAGAGTTTTATATATATTTAAAAATATAACTTATTGGCTAGCTTTTCTTTCTTGCAAGACCTACCCAATATCTGTAATATCACTGAAATCGCCGTAATTGGGCCGAAAGCTGCACAAAATGCAATGGCTATTCGATTCCAAGTAGCATGACGTACAGTACACACCCCTGCAGCCCGTCGTATTACATTTTACATAATCCGATCTGAAAATGAACTTTTAAGATTAAATGAAATATATGCTAAAAGAAATTGATGCTGATTTCATACCTGGTCAGCCTTGCAATGCATATAATGCAGTACTTGCCCTTGTAGGTGCCCGAATAGCCGCAGGATACCCTGGCAGGAAGTCCTTAAGCATTACTTATTGATCAATAAAATATAATAATGCTTTTTACCTACTTATATAATTTACCACGATAAATTCCAAGGTATTTGGATACGGAGTTTTCGCTATAATAATAATTCAGCGAACGCGCTTTGCGTCTGGCGATCTTTATAAAGTTATCTGCAATAAGAGGGGAAGGTTACACTTTTCTCCAATTGTACTTAATATATATATCTAGTCTCTTTATAGGTCCCTACCTCTGTTTAGCAGCAGGCAACGATGCAAGTAGGCGGCACGCACACTGGCATTGTGTGGATACATGCTGGCCATGATCTTGTGGCGCAGACGTCTGCCGTAAGGCTCCCAGAAGAGCAGGCACCAGGCCAGGATGCACAGCATCATGATCTCCCAGTAGCGCAAAAACTTCGGCGGCCTGGGCAGCGGCAGGCAATGTTGGATGTCCACGATCAGATTCTTGGACAAGGGCTCAAAGGCATGCACCAGACCACGCAAAATGTCACCGATCAGGCCGCCGCCCCTAATCACAATCTTCGTATAAGCCGGTGCTGGAAAATAGATAAGTTAGGCATAGTCGAGAGAGAAAGAGAGAGTTCACTTACGCTGCAGCTCGGCCGTTTTGTGCGAATGAAAGGACATGATGGCCAGCATCCAGAAGATGCTATAGTCCACAAAGCAGATGATGAACAGCTGCAGGCTGATGATGATCAGGAAAACCAGAGAACGCTTCACATAGAGCAGCTCACGGGAAACGAGGCGGAACGAGCTAAGCTGTGGGCAGGTGAAAAATTAAATTAAATAAGTAAACGAACCGGAACTCGGAGTCAAGAACTCCAAATTAAGAAAACCCCAAAAAATGGGCTTAACAAAACCCGAAGGGAATCTTATTTCGGTTAAAAAATGATCTAGTTCAAAAAAAATAAGAGAAAATTAAAAATTCAAATTTGTTCAAAGTCAGATTTGAACCGAAATAGAAAAATTATTCATTAAAATTTTGCCAAGTCAGTTGAAATTTGATGGCTAGCAATATTCTGAGTAGAAGAAAAAATTATAAATGAAAAATAAGCCTAACTCAGGTTTGAGCCAGAAAACTGGATTCGCGATTGAAAATCACGATCAAAGCCAAAAGCAGGAAGCTGGTTCGAACTACAGAAAGAACTAGCGAGAATTTATATAGATATTGCGACACTAATGGAAACACTTGAAGTTTTTTTACCCGTCCGATTGCCCACCTTGACGTATGTGTTGCGCTCCGCGGAACGCAGGGGCAGAGCATTGTTGGCATAGTTGATCAGCTGTATCTTGTTGTAGGCATAGAACTCCTTGGTCAAGTAGAAATTGCGATAATTGTCGCTACCCAGGTAGCTCATGCGAAAGTATATCGCGCGCACGAATATTAAAATAAGCAGGGTAATTATCACCAGATCCAGCCAGATGTATGTGAGCAGCAAATGTTTCGTTTCTCGTTCAAGCTCCATGGCGATCCTCTGATCCAGATCGCTGAGCAATGCGCCACGTTCCTTGCTGGGCGCGGCGCTGTGATCGAACGTAATGCTCACCTCGAAGTGGGCCCTGATCCTGGCAAAGATCTCCAGCGGTCCTGTGAGTTTAAGATTGCAATGGAGCTCAATTTATTGATCGTGCGACTTACTTCCGAACACCTGATCGACAATCTGCTCCTGCTCCTTCAAATGGATATCAAAGAAGCTGGGCAAGTCCTTAAGATTTTCACAGAACCATGCAAAGCGCCCTTTCAGATCACAAATCGATTGGTTTTTCGCAAACTTCACCATGCAATCCTGCACGCCGATCGTGCTCGCGCCCAAGCACCGATCGTGGGGCGAGCCCATTTGGTTGTCGAAGAAAGTCTGCTCGAGTATAAGCCACTGATCGCAGCCCTTATAGCCAGCATCTGTTTAGGGAAGATTATTATACTATTGCACTGAAAAACGGATGAGATTTTACCGAGGTATGGGGTTGGGAAATTTCGACCTACTTTATATAGGATATTTAGGGGCAACATTTTGACTTGAATTTCGACTAAATAATATGGTGCTAGATTTAAATGCCAATTTAAACTAGAGGCAAAACCATAAAGAAATATATAAATCTTGTGAAAATCTGATGAGATTTGACCGAGTTATGGGGTTGGGAAATTTCGACCTATGTCCATATAGGATGTTCGGGGGCAACATTTTGACTTGAATTTCGACTAAAAAATGTGTTGCCAGATTTAAATGCCAATTTAAACTAGAGGCAAGCCCATGAAGAAACATATAAATCTTGTGAAAATCGGATGAGATTTTCCCGAGTTATGACAATGGGAAATTTTGACCTATGTCTATAGCCGATTTTAGGGGCAAAATTTTGACATGAATTTCGACTAAAAAACATGTTGCCAGATTTAAATGCCAATTTAAACTAGAGGCAAAACCATGAAGAAAAATATAAATCTTGTGAAAATCGGATGAGATTTGACCGAGTTATGGGGTTGGGAAATTTCGACCCATGTCTATATAGAATATTTGGGGCTACATTTTGACTTGGATTTCGACTAAAAAACATGTTGCCAGATTTAAATGCCAATTTAAACTAGAGGCAAAACCATGAAGAAAAATATAAATCTTGTGAAAATCGGGTGAGATTTGACCGAGTTATGGGGTTGGGAAATTTCGAACTATGTCCAGATAGGATGTTTGGGGGCAACATTTTGACTTGAATTTCGACTACAAAACATGTTGCCAGATTTAAATGCCAATTTAAACTAGAGGCAAAACCATGAAGAAAAATATAAATCTTGTGAAAATCGGATGAGATTTTCCCGAGTTATGACAATGGGAAATTTTGACCTATGTCTATAGCCGATTTTAGGGGCAAAATTTTGACATGAATTTCGACTAAAAAACATGTTGCCAGATTTAAATGCCAATTTAAACTAGAGGCAAAACCATGAAGAAAAATATAAATCTTGTGAAAATCGGATGAGATTTGACCGAGTTATGGGGTTGGGAAATTTCGACCCATGTCTATATAGAATATTTGGGGCTACATTTTGACTTGGATTTCGACTAAAAAACATGTTGCCAGATTTAAATGCCAATTTAAACTAGAGGCAAAACCATGAAGAAAAATATAAATCTTGTGAAAATCGGATGAGATTTGACCGAGTTATGGGGTTGGGAAATTTCGAACTATGTCCAGATAGGATGTTTGGGGGCAACATTTTGACTTGAATTTCGACTACAAAACATGTTGCCAGATTTAAATGCCAATTTAAACTAGAGGCAAAACCATGAAGAAAAATATAAATCTTGTGAAAATCGGATGAGATTTTCCCGAGTTATGACAATGGGAAATTTTGACCTATGTCTATAGCCGATTTTAGGGGCAAAATTTTGACATGAATTTCGACTAAAAAACATGTTGCCAGATTTAAATGCCAATTTAAACTAGAGGCAAAACCATGAAGAAAAATATAAATCTTGTGCAAATCGGATGAGATTTGACCGAGTTATGGGGTTGGGAAATTTCGACCCATGTCTATATAGAATATTTGGGGCTACATTTTGACTTGGATTTCGACTAAAAAACATGTTGCCAGATTCAAATGCCAATTTAAACTAGAGGCAAAACCATGAAGAAAAATATAAATCTTGTGAAAATCGGATGAGATTTGACCGAGTTATGGGGTTGGGAAATTTCGACCCATGTCTATATAGGATATTTAGGGGTAACATTTTGACTTGCATTTCAACTAAAAAACATGTTGCCAGATTTAAATGCCAATTTAAACTAGAGGCAAAACCATGAAGAAAAATATAAATCTTGTGAAAATCGGATGAGATTTTCCCGAGTTATGACAATGGGAAATTTTGACCTATGTCTATAGCCGATTTTAGGGGCAAAATGTTGACATGAATTTCGACTAAAAAACATGTTGCCAGATTTAAATGCCAATTTAAACTAGAGGCAAAACCATGAAGAAAAATATAAATCTTGTGAAAATCGGATGAGATTTTCCCGAGTTATGACAATGGGAAATTTTGACCTATGTCTATAGCCGATTTTAGGGGCAAAATTTTGACATGAATTTCGACTAAAAAACATGTTGCCAGATTTAAATGCCAATTTAAACTAGAGGCAAAACCATGAAGAAAAATATAAATCTTGTGAAAATCGGATGAGATTTGACCGAGTTATGGGGTTGGGAAATTTCGAACTATGTCCAGATAGGATGTTTGGGGGCAAAATTTTGACATGAATTTCGACTAAAAAACATGTTGCCAGATTTAAATGCCAATTTAAACTAGAGGCAAAACCATGAAGAAAAATATAAATCTTGTGAAAATCGGATGAGATTTGACCGAGTTATGGGGTTGGGAAATTTCGACCCATGTCTATATAGAATATTTGGGGCTACATTTTGACTTGGATTTCGACTAAAAAACATGTTGCCAGATTTAAATGCCAATTTAAACTAGAGGCAAAACCATGAAGAAAAATATAAATCTTGTGAAAATCGGATGAGATTTGACCGAGTTATGGGGTTGGGAAATTTCGACCCATGTCTATATAGAATATTTGGGGCAACATTTTGACTTGGATTTCGACTAAAAAATAAGTTGCCAGATTTAAATGCCAATTTAAACTAGAGGCAAAACCATGAAGAAAAATATAAATCTTGTGAAAATCGGATGAGATTTGACCGAGTTATGGGGTTGGGAAATTTCGAACTATGTCCAGATAGGATGTTTGGGGGCAACATTTTGACTTGGATTTCGACTAAAAAATAAGTTGCCAGATTTAAATGCCAATTTAAACTAGAGGCAAAACCATGAAGAAAAATATAAATCTTGTGAAAATCTGATGAGATTTGACCGAGTTATGGGGTTAAGAAATTTCAACCTACTTTATATAGGATATTTAGGGGTAACATTTTGACTTGCATTTCAACTAAAAAACATGTTGCCAGATTTAAATGCCAATTTAAACTAGAGGCAAAACCATGAAGAAAAATATAAATCTTGTGAAAATCGGATGAGATTTTCCCGAGTTATGACAATGGGAAATTTTGACCTATGTCTATAGCCGATTTTAGGGGCAAAATTTTGACATGAATTTCGACTAAAAAACATGTTGCCAGATTTAAATGCCAATTTAAACTAGAGGCAAAACCATGAAGAAAAATATAAATCTTGTGAAAATCGGATGAGATTTGACCGAGTTATGGGGTTGGGAAATTTCGAACTATGTCGAGATAGGATGTTTGGGGGCAAAATTTTGACATGAATTTCGACTAAAAAACATGTTGCCAGATTTAAATGCCAATTTAAACTAGAGGCAAAACCATGAAGAAAAATATAAATCTTGTGAAAATCGGATGAGATTTGACCGAGTTATGGAGTTGGGAAATTTCGACCCATGTCTATATAGAATATTTGGGGCTACATTTTGACTTGGATTTCGACTAAAAAACATGTTGCCAGATTTAAATGCCAATTTAAACTAGAGGCAAAACCATGAAGAAAAATATAAATCTTGTGAAAATCTGATGAGATTTGACCGGTTGGTTGGGAAATTTCAACCTACTTTATATAGGATATTTAGGGGTAACATTTTGACTTGCATTTCAACTAAAAAACATGTTGCCAGATTTAAATGCCAATTTAAACTAGAGGCAAAACCATGAAGAAAAATTTAAATCTTGTGAAAATCTGATGAGATTTGACCGAGTTATGGGGTTGGGAAATTTCGACCTACTTTATATAGGATGTTTGGGGGCAACATTTTGACTTGAATTTTGACTAAAAAACATGTTGCCAGATTTAAATGCCAATTTAAACTAGAGGCAAAACCATGAAGAAAAATAGCAATCTTGTAAAAATCGGATGAGATTTGACCGAGTTATGGGGTTGGGAAATTTCGAACTATGTCCAGATAGGATGTTTGGGGGCAACATTTTGACTTGAATTTCGACTACAAAACATGTTGCCAGATTTAAATGCCAATTTAAACTAGAGGCAAAACCATGAAGAAAAATATAAATCTTGTAAAAATCGGATGAGATTTGACCGAGTTATGGGGTTGGGAAATTTCGAACTATGTCCAGATAGGATGTTTGGGGGCAACATTTTGACTTGAATTTCGACTACAAAACATGTTGCCAGATTTAAATGCCAATTTAAACTAGAGGCAAAACCATGAAGAAAAATATAAATCTTGTGAAAATCTGATGAGATTTGACCGAGTTATGGGGTTGGGAAATTTCGACCTACTTTATATAGGATGTTTGGGGGCAACATTTTGACTTGAATTTCGACTAAAAAACATGTTGCCAGATTTAAATGCCAATTTAAACTAGAGGCAAAACCATGAAGAAAAATAGCAATCTTGTAAAAATCGGATGAGATTTGACCGAGTTATGGGGTTGGGAAATTTCGAACTATGTCCAGATAGGATGTTTGGGGGCAACATTTTGACTTGGATTTCGACTAAAAAATAAGTTGCCAGATTTAAATGCCAATTTAAACTAGAGGCAAAACCATTAAGAAATATATAAATCTTTTGAAAATCGGATGAGATTTGACCGAGTTATGGGGTTGGGAAATTTCGACCTACTGTATATAGGATATTTAGGTGCAACATTTTGACTTGAATTTCGACTAAAAAACATGTTGCCAGATTTAAATGCCAATTTAAACTAGAGGCAAAACCATGAAGAAAAATATAAATCTTGTGAAAATCGGATGAGATTTGACCGAGTTATGGGGTTGGGAAATTTCGACCTACTTTATATAGGAAATTTGGGGCAACATTTTGACATGAATTTCGACTAAAAAATATGTTGTCAGATTTAAATGCCAATTTAAACTAGAGGCAAAACCATGAAGAAAAATATAAATCTTGTGAAAATCTGATGAGATTTGACCGAGTTATGGGGTTGGGAAATTTCGACCTATGTCCATATAGGATGTTCGGGGGCAACATTTTGACTTGAATTTCGACTAAAAAATATGTTGCCATATTTAAATGCCAATTTAAACTAGAGGCAAAACCATTAAGAAAAATATAAATCTTGTGAAAATCTGATGAGATTTGACCGAGTTATGGGGTTGGGAAATTTCGACCTACTTTATATAAGATATTTAGGGGTAACATTTTGACTTGCATTTCGACTAAAAAACATGTTGCCAGATTTAAATGCCAATTTAAACTAGAGGCAAAACCATGAAGAAAAATATAAATCTTGTGAAAATCGGATGAGATTTTCCCGAGTTATGACAATGGGAAATTTTGACCTATGTCTATAGCCGATTTTAGGGGCAAAATTTTGACATGAATTTCGACTAAAAAACATGTTGCCAGATTTAAATGCCAATTTAAATCTAGAGGCAAAACCATGAAGAAAAATATAAATCTTGTGAAAATCGGATGAGATTTGACCGAGTTATGGGGTTGGGAAATTTCGACCTACTTTATATAGGATGTTTGGGGGCAACATTTTGACTTGAATTTCGACTAAAAAACATGTTGCCAGATTTAAATGCCAATTTAAACTAGAGGCAAAACCATGAAGAAAAATATAAATCTTGTGAAAATCGGATGAGATTTTCCCGAGTTATGACAATGGGAAATTTTGACCTATGTCTATAGCCGATTTTAGGGGCAAAATTTTGACATGAATTTCGACTAAAAAACATGTTGCCAGATTTAAATGCCAATTTAAACTAGAGGCAAAACCATGAAGAAAAATATAAATCTTGTGAAAATCGGATGAGATTTGACCGAGTTATGGGGTTGGGAAATTTCGACCTACTTTATATAGGATGTTTGGGGGCAACATTTTGACTTGAATTTCGACTAAAAAACATGTTGCCAGATTTAAATGCCAATTTAAACTAGAGGCAAAACCATGAAGAAAAATATAAATCTTGTAAAAATCGGATGAGATTTGACCGAGTTATGGGGTTGGGAAATTTCGAACTATGTCCAGATAGGATGTTTGGGGGCAAAATTTTGACATGAATTTCGACTAAAAAACATGTTGCCAGATTTAAATGCCAATTTAAACTAGAGGCAAAACCATGAAGAAAAATATAAATCTTGTGAAAATCTGATGAGATTTGACCGAGTTATGGGGTTGGGAAATTTCGACCTACTTTATATAGGATATTTAGGTGCAACATTTTGACTTGAATTTCGACTAAAAAACATGTTGCCAGATTTAAATGCCAATTTAAACTAGAGGCAAAACCATGAAGAAAAATATAAATCTTGTGAAAATCGGATGAGATTTTCCCGAGTTATGACAATGGGAAATTTTGACCTATGTCTATAGCCGATTTTAGGGGCAAAATTTTGACATGAATTTCGACTAAAAAACATGTTGCCAGATTTAAATGCCAATTTAAACTAGAGGCAAAACCATGAAGAAAAATATAAATCTTGTGAAAATCGGATGAGATTTGACCGAGTTATGGGGTTGGGAAATTTCGAACTATGTCCAGATAGGATGTTTGGGCGCAACATTTTGACTTGAATTTCGACTACAAAACATGTTGCCAGATTTAAATGCTAATTTAAACTAGAGGCAAAACCATGAAGAAAAATATAAATCTTGTGAAAATCGGATGAGATTTTCCCGAGTTATGACAATGGGAAATTTTGACCTATGTCTATAGCCGATTTTAGGGGCAAAATTTTGACATGAATTTCGACTAAAAAACATGTTGCCAGATTTAAATGCCAATTTAAACTAGAGGCAAAACCATGAAGAAAAATATAAATCTTGTGAAAATCGGATGAGATTTGACCGAGTTATGGGGTTGGGAAATTTCGAACTATGTCCAGATAGGATGTTTGGGGGCAAAATTTTGACATGAATTTCGACTAAAAAACATGTTGCCAGATTTAAATGCCAATTTAAACTAGAGGCAAAACCATGAAGAAAAATATAAATCTTGTGAAAATCGGATGAGATTTGACCGAGTTATGGGGTTGGGAAATTTCGACCTACTTTATATAGGATGTTTGGGGGCAACATTTTGACTTGAATTTCGACTAAAAAACATGTTGCCAGATTTAAATGCCAATTTAAACTAGAGGCAAAACCATGAAGAAAAATATAAATCTTGTGAAAATCGGATGAGATTTGACCGAGTTATGGGGTTGGGAAATTTCGAACTATGTCCAGATAGGATGTTTGGGGGCAACATTTTGACTTGGATTTCGACTAAAAAATAAGTTGCCAGATTTAAATGCCAATTTAAACTAGAGGCAAAACCATTAAGAAATATATAAATCTTTTGAAAATCGGATGAGATTTGACCGAGTTATGGGGTTGGGAAATTTCGACCTACTTTATATAGGATATTTAGGGGCAACATTTTGACTTGAATTTCGACTAAAAAACATGTTGCCAGATTTAAATGCCAATTTAAACTAGAGGCAAAACCATGAAGAAAAATATAAATCTTGTGAAAATCGGATGAGATTTGACCGAGTTATGGGGTTGGGAAATTTCGACCTACTTTATATAGGAAATTTGGGGCAACATTTTGACATGAATTTCGACTAAAAAACATGTTGCCATATTTAAATGCCAATTTAAACTAGAGGCAAAACCATTAAGAAAAATATAAATCTTGTGAAAATCTGATGAGATTTGACCGAGTTATGGGGTTGGGAAATTTCGACCTACTTTATATAAGATATTTAGGGGTAACATTTTGACTTGAATTTCGACTACAAAACATGTTGCCAGATTTAAATGCCAATTTAAACTAGAGGCAAAACCATGAAGAAAAATATAAATCTTGTGAAAATCGAATGAGATTTTCCCGAGTTATGACAATGGGAAATTTTGACCTATGTCTATAGCCGATTTTAGGGGCAAAATTTTGACATGAATTTCGACTAAAAAACATGTTGCCAGATTTAAATGCCAATTTAAACTAGAGGCAAAACCATGAAGAAAAATATAAATCTTGTGAAAATCGGATGAGATTTGACCGAGTTATGGGGTTGGGAAATTTCGACCTACTTTATATAGGATGTTTGGGGGCAACATTTTGACTTGAATTTCGACTAAAAAATATGTTGCCATATTTAAATGCCAATTTAAACTAGAGGCAAAACCATGAAGAAAAATATAAATCTTGTGAAAATCGGATGAGATTTGACCGAGTTATGGGGTTGGGAAATTTCGACCCATGTCTATATAGAATATTTGGGGCAACATTTTGACTTGGATTTCGACTAAAAAATAAGTTGCCAGATTTAAATGCCAATTTAAACTAGAGGCAAAACCATGAAGAAAAATATAAATCTTGTGAAAATCGGATGAGATTTGACCGAGTTATGACAATGGGAAATTTTGACCTATGTCTATAGCCGATATTAGGGGCAAAATTTTGACATGAATTTTGACCAAAAAACATGTTGCCAGATTTAAATGCTAATTTAAACTAGAGGCAAAACCATGAAGAAAAATATAAATCTTGTGAAAATCGGATGAGATTTGACCGAGATATGACAATGGGAAATTTCGACCTATGTTTAAGTAGGTTATTCAAGGATTCGATTCTTACAGAAATCTTAGCCATATGTCAAGAAGGGCAGTTGCTCTTCGGAGCGCCGAAGTTAGCCTTACATTCTAGTCACACTCACGCAGTTGGACAATGGCGACCTCCTGGCGATGGAAGACCGCATCCAAGCGCTCCATTAGCTTGCGCACCTGGCTGAGGCATGTGTAGACCGCCTGCTCCACTACGTAGACGGGTTCGCCCATGATCTCGTGCATGGGCGTCAGCGCATTCCGGAGCAGCGTCTGGCCACACGAAAGGCTTTGTGCCACGATCTCAATGTTGCGCATAATGTTCGTGACGGGGCCCAAGGTGGCCAGGATGAAGGCGAAGGCGACGAGCAGCGCCCGGCCCTTGTAGCTGCACATGAGCGTCAGGGCCAAGATGCCGACGCATCTACGTACGTTAAAGAACAGGCGATCAGGTCAAGATCAAGTTGGATCTGTGAGCTCACCTGGTCGAGTGGCTGTAGAAGATGATCAGCAGCAACAGGCCCAGCAGCACGATCAAGAACCATCTGAGATTCAGCTCCGCGCTCTCCCGGCGATGGTGCAGCAAATGCCAAAAGAGCACCAGGACTATGCCCGTTATATAGCCGAGTATTATGTAGATCATCAGGTTGTCGTTGTCGGGATCCGCTTTGCTGACGGCAACACGAGCTGGCGGTCGATCCTCCGGATAGATGGGCGCATCGTTCGTATCGCTTGGATCCTCGCTCGTGTCCGTATCTGCGTGTCTGCGTCGAAATTTTCGTTCACGATACACCTTCTGCGCGCCGTAATAATACTCTGGCGCTGGCCTTTCCTTTCTCACCTCAATGGCAATCCCGACATGGCTGGCATTGCTGTCGTTCGATTGCTTCTCCTTGGCCTTGGGAGCAGCTTCTCCTCCTCCCTGGCCAGCGTCTATGCGAACGTAGTCGGCCTCCGATGTTGGCGATGCGAATGATTGACTATATGTTGACATTATATATTCTATTTACAATTCATTTGAATTTTCACTTCGTTTTTCTATTTAACTGTAAACTTCAGATACAACTAATCAGGGTTGGCTTAAATTAGTTTTGCAGCCCTGTTTGAAATATGATCGAACTTGCAAAAGTTATCGATAACAATGCAGACACATGTTATCGCTAATTATCGTGAGTGAGCCCAGCCTTGGCGCAATTAGCACGAAGTTGTGGGTTCGAACTACAAAGAGAGGCATTTCATATGAACTGTGCTGCATTTACCTACGCCTTACCCAGCCTATAAGGAATTATAATAATCTTATTGCAAATATTTACAAATGAATTACATTATAATAAACAAAAACACATTTTTGTGCTTGTTTAAGGCTCCTTTTTGCCTTTTTGCCTGCGATCTTTGCTGCAGAGATGTCGTGCCTTGATTTGTCCAAATGATTCCGTCCCCGGATCATCGGAGGAGTCCCTGCAAAGGATAATACGATTATTTGAAGAAGAAGATGTAATCAGGGCTGCAAACACACTAAAGAACTGGGCAATGGCTCAGTTCACGGCTCGAACCAGTTAAAGTACGGTTCGTGAACCAGCTTTTCCACAGACATGAACCAGAATCACTTTTAAATGAACATGGTTCGAACATGGAATTTGGAGCTAGGACTTTCTCAAAATTCTTTTGATATGAACCAGAACCACTTTTAAATGAACATGGTTCGATTCATAGGAAACTGGTTTGGTTCAGGCTTCGATTCATGGTAAAGGGAATTTAAATTTTTCGAACCTGCTTGCAGCCCTGGCCCTAGCTGTGCTTACTGAACTTCGGAGAGGTCGCTGTAATCGCCATAATCAACGGGCCGCTGGCAGAGGCAACATTTGCCATTGGACTCACGGAAGCAGACCTGGCAGTAGACGCCCTTGCAGCCGGGCGTATCGCACCTTACGCGTGTCGAGCTGAAAAGGGCAGGGTCCTGGTTCAAAACAGACTCAACTGAGGCACGAGTTAATCTACACTAACGAGCTCAATAGCTGGGCGCACAGAATGCACACATCCTCGCCTCGAACGGGCCAGAAACAGAGGCAACAGCAGCACCTAAGGGAGGGGCGGAGGTCAAAGGGTCATTAGGTCATCAAATACCAGGCAATAGAGGGAACTACGCACCGGAGAAGCTTGTCCAGGCAGCCGCCGTGTCCGCCCGCCTGCTGGTGCCTAAAAAGGGCGCGTGCCTTGCGACGGGCCATCTTCAAGAAGCAGCCTAAGGAGGACGAAGAGCGAGAGCTTAGAGTCTAAATAGGATTGGGTTTGAACCGGCGCCCACCTCGCTTCTCGATTATCTTCCGCTGCAAATACTGCGCACGCACATGGGCGCGTTCCGGATAGAATCTCTGCATGATCAGGTGACGCAGACGCAGCGCATAGGGCTCCGTCAGCAGGATGAGCCAGGCGAGCAGACAGAGCAGCAAGATGCCCGCATAGTATCGATAGTCCGGCTCGACGGGCTGAGGCAGACAGGACTTGGAGTCCAGCCTGGTCTTCTGGGTGATGGGACGAAAGGCATTCGCAATGCCTCTCATAATGTCGCCCACAAAGCCGCCGCCCTCGATCTCCAGATCCACGTAGGCGGGTATCTCCAGATCGTCCTGCTCCTCGCCATAATACGCAATGCTGTCCAGCAGCCAGAACAGGCCGTAGTCCATCAGGCAAATGCTGCCCAGCTGGACGCACGTGTTCAGCATAAAGAACCCATTCTCCGCCAGCATCAGGCACTCGCCGCCCGACAGCCGCAGGCTGGTTAGCTGCAGTTTGGATTAGGGCTAGATTGATTGGCTGGCCAATGGATGGACCTTCAAGTACTTACCTTCAAGTACTTGGCGCGTTCCAGACTCTTCAGGGGCAGAGCTGTGGGCTGGCCCTTTGCCTCACAATCCCTCTCGATGGCATAAAGCGCGCTGGTTAAATAAATATTCTGATACTCCCGACCGAGCATATATCGCAGATAGAAATAGATGGCCCTGTGATAGTTGATATACTTAATATGCTAGCTGACATTAAGCGGCTTTGCGCGGGCTAAGCATTTTGTGAG